CCCCGCGACCCGACCCCGGATAGGCGGAAGAAAATGGATGGATGGATGGATATAACAAAATATAATAAATTATAATAAAATATAAGAAATCATCAGGATGAAGCTGAAGTCTTTAAATCAGCTGTTCCTTTAAAACAAATAAAAATAAAAAATTTCCACTTTTACAGTGTACATATCAGCAGATCCAAGTAGAGTTCAGATCATTTCAAGTAAACAAATAGTATCTCACCTGCAACAGACGACACTCTGAACCCACTCTGTTCAGTGGGTTAATGGCGAGTCTGAGCTGCGCCACGATTAAATCTGATCTCTGCTGTGTGAAGGTAAAACAAACATGAAGTCCTGGTCCTCTCAGACGAACCATCACTGTTTCATGACAAACTGGAACTATGACATCACTTTGTGCTGCAGCACAATGTCATCTGTTCAGACTCTCACTGACAGATTTTATCTGTGAATGTATTCTTGGCCATCTTCCTTCATATTTATGTTCATTTCTGTTGAGAACCTGCAGCCATCATGATCTGCGCTCTCAGGACTGATGCAGGTGAAAAACGTTACAACTGAACTTGGTAAAAAGGCCATTTTCTGCTCCTGCCACCTGGAATAACTCACAGATCATCTGAAGTCATCATCTCATTACCTGGGGACAATTCAAATCAATTTTAAAGGACAGAGACACCAAATCATTGTGCTCCTGTGGATACTCTCAAGTTTAGTCATGTGACGTTTATTAGTTTTATGTTTTGAGATTATTTTTTATTTTTATTTTTTGCTGCTCTCTTGGCCAGGGCACTCGGAAAAGAGGTTTTGAATCTCAATGAGTTTATTTCCTGGTTAGATAAAGGAAACTACAACTACTTAGCTCATCAGTCAGAATAATTGTCCAGCAAAGAGCCATCTACAACAGGTAAGATATTAACTGTTCTTCAAAACGTTGCCACTGCTGCTTTAGTTTGTTGGTTAGTTTTTATGCAGGACAAACTGTAGATGATCAGCTGCTCTGACTTTAACCTCCATCAGAAATAAAAGCATTTAAAATAATTATAACTTTATAAAACAATCAGCTGCTTCAGAAACGTTTCTTTAGATCTGTAGAAACTGTCTTCATGATGTAAATCTCTTTCACGGTTTCTCTGCTGAGACTTTCCTGACGTGTGAATGAGACTTCCTGTGTTTCCTCAGAGCCGAAGCGTCCTTGTATCTTTTCTCGCAGATGCTGCAGGTGTACGGCATCTCTCCTGTGTGCGTTCTGACGTGGGACGTTAAAGTTCCTCTCTCCGTGAAACTTTTCCCACACGTCTGACATGCAAACGGCTTCTCTCCGGTGTGAGTCTTCAGGTGAGCCATCAGACGGCTGCTAGTGATGAAGTGTTTCCCGCAGATTACACAGGAATACGACTTCTCCTCGGAGTGAACGGCTAAATGTCTTTTAAAGGCTGAGGAGTCTATAAATCTTTTCCCGCAGGTGTAACACAGGTAGGGTTTCTCACCTGTGTGTGTCCTCATGTGAACGGTTAAATGATCACTCTGAGTGAAGTTTTTCCCACATACGTCACAGGAAAACGGCCTCTCAGCCGTGTGCGTCCTCATGTGGACAGTCAAGTTCCCATTCTGGGTGAAGATTTTCCCACAGATCTGACAGGAGAAGAGTTTGTCTCCCGTGTGGCTTCTCATGTGGATGGTCAAACTGCCGTTCAGGGTGTAGCTCCTCCCACAGATTTCACAGGAAAATGGTTTCTCACCCGTATGAGTCCTCACGTGGACCAGCAAGCTCTCTCTACACCTGAACCCTTTCCCACACGTCTCACAGGAGTATGGCTTCTCCTCTGTGTGAGTCCTCAGGTGGCGCGTTAAAGTTTTAATGTGACGGAAGTTTTTCCCACACGTTCCACAGGGAAACGGCTTCTCCCCGGTGTGAATTTTATGGTGATTATTTAAAGACTGGACTGTGTTTAAGGTTTTCCCACAAGTGCTGCAGGAGTATGGTCTCTTGTCTCCAGGGTCCTTTAATGTTTTATTATTCAGTTTAGATTTAAAAGACTTTGTATTTTCCTGCTGCATCTTTAGCTTCAGTTCTGTGGGTCCACCTGGTCCAGAGTCTGAAGGGTTTGGGGTCTCAGACACAGGACTGTGGTCTGAGAGGAACCGGTCTGGTTCTGGTTTCCTCGGGTCGGGTTCATGAGTAAAGGTCTCAGTCTCCTGATCCTCCTCTGGTTCTTCTTTCATCTGAGGAGGCTCCTGGTCCAGACTCTGATCCTGGTCCGGGTCCCAGAGGTCCTCCTCTTCCTCCTTGCAGTCGTGTTGATGAAGATGATCTGAAGAAACAAACGTTTCATAAAATCTGATGTTTAAACATCTGGAGCTGAAAGAAAAAACTTAAACAGATTTAAATCAGAAAAAAACTGAGTTTTATTTAATTTACTGATAAACTTCATTATTGAATCAAACTTTAAACTTTTCAGATTTTAATCACTGAAAACTGATCCAATCAGAATATTTCTCATGAAAATCTAAAGTTTATTTCAAGTTTTGTTGATTTAAAAAGTGAAATATTTAGTTTTTCTTCTGGAAACTATTAAAACCTGAAGTCATTCAGTTATTTTTACTTTAATCTTTTCTTTATTAAAACTGAAGAAATGTTTAAATTGATCATTTTCATTGTTTTTATTATAGTTCTAATTTTATTTGTTTACATCAGAACCAGAACATCTGGATCTTTATTTAAATACATTTTAAAACAGTTTGTAAAAACATCTGTTTTCTGGAAGAACCGTCCGAACACAGAAAAGGTTCGTGGTTCTGATCCGGGACTTGTGGGTCCGGTCTCACCGACCCTCGGATCAGAACCGGCTCATAAAGTTCTGTACCTGCGGCTTTAAAGCGCACTTCCGGTCCCCGGCTCAAACCCAGCCGTCGGTTCGGTTCGGTTTCCCCGAACTTTGAGAGAATTTCACGAGATGGAGACATTTTTAGTCCAGAACCAGAACCATGACAGCAGTTAGCTTCTCCGGCTAGCTCTTCTTCTTCTCCTCCTGTCTCACAGCGGAGCTCACAGCGCCACCTGCTGTCAGCAGCTGTCAGCAGCTGTCAGCAGCTGTCAGCAGCTGTCAGCAGCTGTCAGCAGCACAGCGCCACCTGCTGTCAGCAGCACAGCGCCACCTGCTGTCAGCAGCTGTCAGCAGCACAGCGCCACCTGCTGTCAGCAGCACAGCGCCACCTGCTGTCAGGGAGGAAACACTTCACTGAAATCCTGCTTTTTGTCCAGAGCTTCACAGTAACTGAGTACATTTACTTTGTTACAGTACTTAAGTAGTTTTTGGAGGATTTGTAATTTTACCAAGTATTTTTCTAAACAGTTACTTTTGCTTTTCTTTTGTTACATTTTAAAGCTAAAAATGATACTTTTACTTCTTTACTTTAAAATGTAACACCTAGTTACTGGTTACTAAATTAAATATGTTTAAACTCATGAAAGATGTTTCTGCTGTAAAAAATGAAGAGTTGAATTTACTCAACAAAGTCATGTCAGCTGGCTCCACTGAGCCTCGTTCAGTAAACGGACGTCACCATTTTTCTCAGTAAATATATTACTAGAGGTGCTAATGACATGAAATTTTCACCAGATGTTGGTAAC